AAATCACAGTTCATCAGTTTTCATAAAATGTATTTAATTCATTCACATTAACTGAACATGAAAGGGTGAAGCTTAAATAAATGTTAACTTTTGCGTTGGATTTATGCGATTAAATTGGATGGAAAATTGACATCTAATTGAATTACATAAGTTTTAACTTTTGGGGTTCAATATTTTTTTGAGTGTAGTTATTAATGCAGTGTCATAGAAGCACAAACAGGCTTCTTAAAAGGAGTGTCTTAAAGGAATAGATCACCAAAAAAATTTAATTACCCAAAATGCAGATGAGTTTGTTTCTTCATCAGAAAAGATTTGGAGAAATGTAGCATTACATCACTTGCTGTCTCACTTGAATGGGTGCTGTCAGAATGAGAGACCAAACAGCTGATAAAAACATCACAATAATCCACAAGTAATCCACACCACTCCAGTGCATCAATTAACATCTTAAGTGAAAACATGCATGGTTGTAAGAAACAAATCCATCATTAAAGCATTTTAACTTCAAACCATCGCTTCTGGTCAAAATGCAAGTACATAATCCATAATAACGCTTCCTCCAGTGAAATAGTACATCTCCTGTTGTCCTCTCACATCAAAATCCACCCACATATTTGTTTAGAACTGTTTTGGACTGTTTTTTGCCTGTAAATGATGCTTGATCAGTGCATATTTCTCTCTTCATTCAGACAAGATGACTAGATTTCACTGGAGAAAGCAATATTATGGATAGAGGACTCGCATTGTGGCTAGAAGCGATGGTATAAACATCTCAATGATATATTTGTTTCTTACAAACACTCAGCTTTTCACTTCATTGATGGAGTCGTGTGGATTAATACTAAGTTCTGTCATGAAACTCTAGATGGTGCAGGCCGACAGGTTCTAACTCAACATTCAAATACTTGGCTAATGCTTGCTACAGCAGTTACAGTGCGCTTCAGAAAACCTCCACCTTCCCCAGCTCCACCTGTATAGATCTGCTACAGGGTAATTTCAAGTATGCTATATATGGGGGTTATTTTCATATATATTATTTGTGCAGCAGCAGTATTTCTTACAATGAGCGTTGTAAGAAATACTGCTCACCCTAACCTCTCCCTCCCTCCCCATACACTGGACGACATCCATTCACTGCAGTGGATCCATTGGTGAGCACGTTATGTAATGCTAACTTTAGCCAAAGAAAATGTATTTAAGAAACAAACTAATCCTTGATGACCTGAGGGGAAGTAAATTTCAGCAAATTTTAATTTTTGGGGTAAATTTTTTTTTATTTAAACATCTTATCACTTGTTGATGGTAGTTTAATTTTACTTTGGTCACAAATTGCTTGCACTAAATAGACGGCACAGTTTTCATGTATCTTGTTTACAGCTGTGAGAGTGACTCCTGTATTCTAAAATTCACTCACTTCATCACTGAACTTTAGCATGATGAGCACTTCCCCAGCTCCACCTGTATAGATCTGCTACAGGGTAATTTCAAGTATGCTATATATGGGGGTTATTTTCATATATATTATTTGTGCAGCAGCAGTATTTCTTACAATGAGCGTTGTAAGAAATACTGCTCACCCTAACCTCTCCCTCCCTCCCCATACACTGGACGACATCCATTCACTGCAGTGGATCCATTGGTGAGCACGTTATGTAATGCTAACTTTAGCCAAAGAAAATGTATTTAAGAAACAAACTAATCCTTGATGACCTGAGGGGAAGTAAATTTCAGCAAATTTTAATTTTTGGGGTAAATTCTTTTTTATTTAAACACATCTTATCACTTGTTGATGGTAGTTTAATTTTACTTTGGTCACAAATTGCTTGCACTAAATAGACGGCACAGTTTTCATGTATCTTGTTTACAGCTGTGAGAGTGACTCCTGTATTCTAAAAGTCACTCACTTCATCACTGAACTTTAGCATGATGAGCGGTCAAAACTTTATTAGCACAAACTGTTTAAACTATAGCATGGATACTATAAACACTTACACATCATCTTCAGCTGACTCATTCAGTATGTCAGCTCTGTGATTCAGCTGATGCCAATAAAGTCAACGGATGAGTGTTTAACACTATTTGACTTACAGGGGCCCAAAAACATGAGAGCTGGAGTGTACGACAAACATCCCATTAGACCCATATATACTGTAGAAACAATCCCGCAGTAAGTGTTTTAGAAAATAATGTGCTTTAACTTTCAGAACACAAAAATTCCTGGAGTAAAAAAAAAGGGGGGGGGGGGATCATTATCAAAACAAAAAAAAAAAAAAACAACTAATTTTAATTGGGGAGG